GCAACCTCGAAGTTCCCTTGCGAATGCACTGCTTTTCCCATATCCTAACTCATGTCGCCTTCCGACTGACCATTCGTTGACTCGGGCCTGTGGCTACAAGCTTCCTTACACACTCTTAGCACCTGACGCTAAAGTACGCCCGGTATCGTCCGTGCCAGACACGCCGTGTCTGAAGAGCGTAAAGAGCCACCGCCACGGAGAATTCCATGCGACGAATTCTGAGTTGCCCAGGTGGGTAGCCCCAGGAAAGATTTCGTCTCGGTGATTGCGCCCTTTTGCCCCGGCCTCTGAGGCTTGTCTTGTTGTGCTGTTCGACGTGTTCGCTGCCACAGGATCCGTGCCGGTTTTGCCTGTCGCGGTGCTTGTTTGCCAGATCAGACTGATTCTCGCCCCTTTGCGCTTCCGTGTAGCCTAACGCTCTGACACATCCTGTTGTCAAATCTGGGAAGGCGAGAAGGTCTTGCCATGCTACCGGAATGATGATACACCGTATTCCACCCGGAAGCAAACAACTGAGTCGTGATAGCAGCCATCATCGTCCACCACATGCACACCACCACCCATCAACTGCCGGAACGCCCGTCTCCCGCCTTCCTTTCCACAGCCGTGATATCCGCCGCTGAACCCACGCCGGCCAAAGTCAGGTCTCACTTCGCACAAAGGGGCAGTGAATTTCCCTAGGGATACTAATTCGGCCATGCTGGCGCCGTCGATCTCTCTGGGGCCGTACTAAATCGGTAGGTCGGTTCCCCACAATTGCCGGTTGCGCTGCCTCCCGCTACAAGGGGCCGTATTCGCTGGTCGCCACCCCCATGCCGCACCAGCCTTGCCCGCTCTTCTCCCTCCCCCTTCTTGTGGTACGCCGGATCTTCACAATGCACAATCCCGTTGATCTGGCGGCTGGCGGGCAAGTTACTTCCCAACACGAGGTGCGGGCCACCCGGTGTACCGCATCGAATTGATGAAGGACAACGTCCTCCCTCGTACAACGCCTGCAAAGCATGAATATTGTCTATGTCGAATGCTCCCGTGGCCCCGGGCCAGCATATGGTTGCGCCCGGCGGGAAAACAGTGTCGGTGTCACAACCGCGCTCGCTGTGAACTCTACTCACGAAGGCCCAATCAATGCGTGCGCCCGCCTGTGGGCAAATTTCATGGAGGCCAAAGCGTAGAGCATGGCTTAGCAAGTTGTGGAAGAGGAGCTGATTGCCGCTGGGGTGCTTGACGAAACAACAGGTCGCCGTCACTCGCGCTGCGCCGAGGGTCCCGTCGTCGCCTTGCCAGCTGAGTGGTTTCGTGCCGTGGACGGGAGCCTGGTGTCGGGCGTAACTGGGAATCCGGAATCTCTGCTGTCGCTCGGACTGCTCGCCAGATCAATGAACGAGCCGTCTGTTAATATTCGTCTGCAAGGATCGAAGCTGCCAAGAGGATGTTCCTGACACGCACGGATCTTCAACCTGCGTGGCTTTCGTCGCCCCAGTCTCAACGGGGCATCGATCGTGTGGCGAGACTAGACCAATGAAGAGGCCAGTGCTGCATCTGCACGGTCATGCTTGGCCGCACACGGGCACTCTGATCCCGCCCACCCGGCTTCAGGGATGGCGCACGTCAGGGAGAACAAAAGAAACGCTGAGAGAGTCTTGACCGGCAGATCACTGCAGCTTCAAGTGTTCTCGAAGCACTAAAGCGATGCAGCAAGGACGAGGCTTGCGAAGGACCACCCTCTTCATCGTGGCCATTCCCATGTCTCCAACCGCCGGATAGGCAGCCCTTTCCTGCTGTGCTACTTCGAAAGCGTGAGCAAGGTTTCAGGCATCACCAGCAAGCCCGCTCCTCCGGCCGGTGCGACGAGACATGCACTAAGCCGCGGCGACTTAATTTGGTCGTCACCACCTTAGTCTTGGGCCACAGGGTCAACAGGGGAGCCGTCATGTTGGACCAAGACTGCCAGGAAACGCAGTCTTCAGCATTTTGCCCACCATCCATCCCTGCCTACACACTAGTCAGTCCAAGCCATACGGCATCCTTCGTTGCCCTGTTGCTATCGGTCGGAGACCATGCAGGCCACGCTACCGTCTCTTAGTTTTGACCGTCCCATAGCTGAGAGCTCCCGTGCCATCGTGGGGTCGTCATCAGGGGTGTCCCACAAGGCCGTATTGGTACAGTCAGGCTTTCCCCGCCGAATCGTGCTGGAACATAGAGTGTATGGTGGAGAGTCGACAAGAGTCAGGTCAGAGCACTCACAGGCCCGCGCACTGGCGGAGAATGAACGGCTCGGTCCAGGCTGAATAGACGATGAGAACTCTTTGCTCCCTTGGGGCGTCCTGTCCCGCCCGTACTGTTGAGTCTTGCACAGTTTGTGTCATGTTTCAACGGTAGACTGTGTAGTCTGAGTTTATATGGCGACGGACCGCTCGCTTCGTGCGC